GTCTTTTATAATAGCTATATATGAGCATATTATTTTTATCCCTGTGAAAATGTGAAATCCATGAAGGCAGGAACATTGTCCAATTTGTCTGTGATTTCCCATAGCACTTAACACACAAGACTTATGAGTTGTGGAATTAAGAAAATCTTGTTTGATTTGAATCTAACAAATCGAAATAATTTTTTTCAAAATGGGTCTGAGTCAATACCCATGAAAATATGTTCATGGATCTTATGTTCCCATTTCCACTCCTTACCTGTAGATAGTCCCATCCATATATGCCTTGAGTGACTTGTAAGAGTAAGGTTCTTTGCTGGACATTGGGGTGGGAAGGATACAGGAGTAAATTAGATACAGTCCCTGCTCTTAAGGAGCTTACATTTTAGTAGGGCAGGCAAATTTCCAAACAATAACTCAAGTTTTAATCAGATTTGTAGTCAACAGAGAACTCTGATGATACTGCGGAAGTCATCCATGAGGGAAAGAGAGGTAATCAGTGAACAGAATTTTACAAGGTAGAGATTAGAGAATGGGAGACATTTCAGGTAGAGAAAGGAGCCTGAACTCTAGTCAGAAGGTCAAACTTTGCATGGGGTGTTTGAGAGGACTATTGTGAAGTTGAGCAGAGTGAAGACTGCAAGGAGAGTGCTCTTAGGGATGTGGCTGAATGCGAGGATGAAGCCAGAGCCTTCTAGCTTGTCTGGCTACTGGATGGTTCCTGGTACCCAATTTCTCTAGAGCTGGGAAATATTTAATTTGAGTTCATATGTAAGTGGATATGGAGGAAGAAACTAAAAATTGGTGTATAAAATTGTTTCAAGGAGCATATAAATTTCCTTCCTTCCTTCATCCTTTCATGACTTTCTGTGCACTAATTATATGTCAGCAATAGGCTAAGTTTTAAAGATACAGAGATAAGCAAGACACATGCTTTGAATCCCCTTTCACCAGCCCTTAACAAAGCTTACAGTCTGGTGACAGACCCACACAAGGAAAGAACAATGACAAGAACTATGACATAGGGAAGTACAGAGGCTATGAGAGCAGAGAGGAGGGCTCCTCAATAGAGTCAGGGGTCTGGGCTGAATGGAATGGAAATAAAAAAGAACCCTTGATCTTCCAGTAAAAGGGGGAGAAAGACATTTCAAGAGGGAGGAAACACCCCATCAAAGGGATGTAGGCATGAGAGGGTATGGTGCCTTCAGGGAATTACAGGTCTCAGTGTACCTAGAGTCCAAGGTATGTGGCAAAGAGAGGTAGAAAATAAAGTGACAGACATGAGCATAGCTTTGTCAGATAAATAAATTAACGAATATGGCAGCTGGGACTTCTCTTGTTCATGTGGAAAATGAGAAGACTATCTGGGAGGAAGAATGTTTAGAGCCTTGGTGCACCAAGATTTGTCCTTGGCCAGAAGCATCAGCAATAGCTGGTAGCTTTTTAGAAATGTGCCATCTTAAACCCACACTAGACCTGCAGAGGCTTGAGAAGCATTGATCAAGAGCACAGGCTCCTGAGTTGGAATCCTGGCCCTCTATCTGCTGGCTATGTGCCTTTGATCCTCTCACTTTTCTTCTCTGGCAACAATATCATCAATGATAAAGTTGAGAAGGTCAACCCAGTGGATTCTAGTAGCATTTTCAGCTCTGTAGGGTGTGTGTGTGTGTGTGTGTGTGTGTGTGTGTGTGTTTAATTCTAGGGGATACTGGTAGGAGAGTTGATCATTTCCAAAACTGGCTAACACATGTCTCCTTCCTGAATGACCCACTGTTTGGAATCATGCCCTCAAGTTTGCAGCTAACGGAAAAGATCATCAGAAACAATGAACCTACACCTGAAGGCAGATCAGCTGGGAAACCAGAAGGTCAGACCCTCAGGTACTTACCACTCTGCTAGCTGGGGGCTTTGTGTGGGGAGGGAAAAGTGGTGATTCCTCCCACCATAATCCTGCCTGCCTTTTAAGGAAAGAAAAAGAAAAAAAAAAAAAGAGAATGTACAGGATCAGATCCGGAGGCACATAATTCTACAAGGGCTTTCCTGGCTGTTGTGTGACGATAATCAAGAATGTGTGTGTGTGTGTGTATAAATATGCGTGTGTGTGTGTGTAAATATGTGCATGTGTGTGCGTGTGTGTGTGTGTGTTGGGAATAAAAAGGTACTGCTTAGGGTGACAGTGCCTTAAAGCCTAAATGTTTTAATTAAGAGAAAGAAGATTCAGCTGTCTGGTCAAATGGTACACTAGAGTTGCTTTGCATTTTCCAAATAGCTTCCCCAATAGGCCTATGCAAAGGCTGCAAAAATGTGTCTAAACAGACTCCCACCTAAAGGATAAGAGGAGATGGTGGTTAGAAAGCCAAATCCTTGTGCAGCTCTGCAGAGGCTCAAGGGTTAGCCTGGAGAAGCTCTCCCTTCGCTCCTGAGCTATTGCCCCATGGAGAAGTGAAGGAGAGCTGGGGTAGGAGGGAGCACACCCTTGACCTGGGCCACTGCACAGGGGCTGCCCCATGGGCATCATGCAATGGATTTTCAGGCAAGATGGTCAGACTCTTGTTAATGAAGAAAGGGATGAAGTTCCAGAGAGACTATAGCAATATAAGTTGTAGGGAAGAGCACAGGACTGGGAGCAAGAATAGCTTCATTTCTAACTTGCTCTGGGACCTTGGCAATTCTCTTCTCTAACTCCTATTTCCCTATTTGTACACATTAGTAACCAGCATTTATTGAGCAACAATGATGAAGAAGAGATGGTCCATTTCCTAAGCATTTACTATAAATAAGACAGTGTCTCCTGGGTTTAAATACCAAGTGTATGCTGTTGACTCATAAATTTCTATCTCCAGCTAAAACTTCTTTGAATTGGACTTTTGGATTCCAATGCCTATTTTCTATCTCTACTTGATGTTTAGTAGTCAACTTGAACTTACATCCCAAACAGCACCCTTGATCCCCCTCATTTCTTTTTTTTTAAAGATTTATTTATTAATTAATTAATTTATTTATTTATTTGAGAGAGAGAGCATGAGAGGGAGGAGGGTCAGAGGGAGAAGCAGACTCCCTGCCGAGCAGGGAGCCCGATGCGGGACTCGATCCCGGGACTCCAAGATCATGACTTGAGCCGAAGGCAGTCGCTTAACCAACTGAGCCACCCAGGTGCCCCTGATCCCCCTCATTTCAATCCCAACCCTCCTACAGCATCCCCTGACTCAATGAAAGAGATGTCCTTTCATCCACTGTCCAGATTGAATCATTTGGAATCATCTTTGACCCCTCTATACTTCTCACCTTTCATATCCAATAACAAGTCCTGTCAGATCTACCCTCTGAATGTCCAGGATTTCACCATCTTTGCCCCTTACCCTGTGGGTCAAGCCACTGCCAACTCTTGCCTACGTTGGGATAATAGTTCCCTTGAATGTGAAGTCAATTTGCCATGCACCAGCCAGAGTGCTTCTGGTTAAAATGCAGGCCACATGATGTCACTCCTTGGGCTCAAAATCCTCCAGTGACATCCCATCACACTCAGAGTGAAATCCTAAGTCCTTGTCATCCTATATAACTCCCTGCAGCCACCCCCACCCAATCTTCTGCTTTTCACATTTGCCTCCTACTCTTCCCCTCTCTCACCTCCATCCAACCACACTGTTCCTCCTGTTCAACTAATGGCACACTCCTGAACTCCTGCTACAACATGCTGGTTCTTGTCGTTGCCTCTGCGTAGAACGCCGTCCCCTCCAAATAGTCACATGGCTTCCTCCATCTTTGCCTCGCGGTGCCCACTCAAATGTCCCCTTCTCAGAGAAGCCTCCCCTGACCACTGCATGTAATAATGGCTCTGCTTCCACTCTCAGCTTAGCATCCCCTGTGCTGTGTGCTCTCCCCCAGCATGCATCATCACCTGACACAATACATATACTTTCCTGTTGGTCTGTTGCAGCCCAACAGAATTTTCTGCAGGGCTGGGGATGTTCTATATCTGAGTTGTCCAAGAGGTAGCCATTGGTCACATGGAGCTACACAGCACTTGATAGATGGCTAACATAACTGGGGAAATGAATGCTGACTTTATTTAATTCTACTTAATTTAAATTTAAATAGCCACCTGTGGCTAGTGGCTATCTTGTTAGACAGTGCAGATTGAATGTCTCCTTAGAATATAAACTTAATCAGGGCAGAGATTATGCCAGTTTTGTCCACTGCTATATCCTCAATGCCTAGGGAAGTGTCTGCCTATTCAATAAATACCTATCAAATGAAGGAGTAAATGAATATACTAGGGGCTTTCCATGCATTATCTCATTTAATCCTAACAACACCCTTGTGAGTTAAATGCTGTTTTCATTCTCTGGTACTCAGAGGAAATGTCTTTCTGAAGAACACCCAGCTACTTTGTACCCTATGACCAACATCTCCCCATTTAAGATGAGTAAGTCCTAGGGATCTCATGTACAACACAGTGAACTCTTAACGATTCTGTTTTATATACTTCAAAGTTGCTAAGAGGGTAGATCTTAAGCATTATCACCATAAAAAAAATGGCATATGAATTGATGGGGTGTTAATGAGTCTTAAGGTGGTAATCATTTTATAGTGTATACATGTATTAAATCATCACAGCTTACACCTTAAACTTACAAAATGCTATATGTCAATTATATCTCAGTAAAACTGGTAAAAAAAGGAAAAGGACATCCAGCTAGTAAGAGGTGGATAGGATCTGAGCTCAGGGATGCCTGATGATGTTCAGATATCTTGCTTTGCTGAAACCAGACCAGATGCTCTCTGTGGTCCTTTCTACTTCTGGGATTCTGTGGTTTTATAGAACTTTCTTCCTGGCCCAGTGATAGCAGCACATGGTTTAACCGCCAATGGAATGGATGGGCCTTCAGGTCAAACCCCTTGTCCATGGCTCAGAAGCCATGATTCTTCAGGTACAAGGCATGCAGGCCATCTTGCAGCCTGCCTCCTCCTTCCCTCCATCCCCAGCTTAGCCCACAGCTCACCAGTTTCTGGATCGCAGAGCTGCTCACAGGCATCTGTCGTCCTCTGCCCGCAGAGGTCTCTCACCCACGGGGAGGTGGCGTTGATCTGGTAATACAGGGACAGCTTGGCCGGGTTTAACCAGTCTGAGACATCCAGGTAGCTCCCTTCACTCACCACAAAGCTGCTCCCTGTGGGTGAACAGAGAGAAAGACAGCTACTTTCTCTCCGATTGTAGGATGCCGGTGTGTCTTGGTGCTGATGTGCAGGCCAGGAACACAGGCAGGTGCATGCAAGCAATCCCCCTACCCCAGGTCCTCTGTTTGCACTCGTCTACCCACACTGACAGAGCATTTTTACAATATGCCAGCCATGGTATCGGCAGCCAAGAGAGAAAGAGACAAATCAGACGCAGAGACAGTTCAGCCTAGCGGATAAAAGTTGGGCCCTTAGGACTGACAGAGATTTGGGTTCAAATGCAGAATCCACCCTTATCTGCCATTGACTTTGTGCAAGCCACTCAATGCCTCTGGCCTTAGTGACATCATCTGTAAATAGGAATATCAATGGAACCCACCTCGTTGTTGTAAAAATTGAATAAATTAATGTAGATAAAAATGCTATGCTTAGCCAGGGCCTGACTTGTCCTAGGAAAGAATGCTTAAACATTAAAATTCAAAAGAGAAAAAAATGCTAATATCCCTGTCACCCAGGCATCCTCCAACCCCCTCCCCCCCGCCGCCCCTAACAGGGGTCATTAATGCCCACAGGGGCCAGGTATGTGATATTAATGGGAGAGACTAACTGAGCAGCTTCTTGGCCATCTGGCCTAGATTTTGTTTTTTATTTTATTAGAGAGAGAGAGGGAGGTATGGGGACAGAGAGAAATTCAAAGAAATCCATAGCACCTTTAAGAAAAAAAGCCGTACTTGGTCCATAGAAAATGCCTTAATGTTGGGGAACAATGGAGTTTGGGGTGACCTGGCACCACGGGTTCTGTCAGACTGGAGTAGCTGCAGGCCAGCTCCAGCCAGGTCTTGCCAAATGGATCTAAAAGCCAGTGGTACAAGAATGTCAGGTCTTCTTCAGGAGAGGCTGAATATTCAGATTTTGATTGTAATCAAGCAATTTGGAAATAATGACTTAAATTTGCTCTTAAACTTGTGTAAGTTAAGGGTGTCTTGAGTGGCACAGTCGGTTAAGCAGCCGACTCTTGATTTCGGCTCAGTTCATGATCTCAGGGTCCTGGGATCCAGCCCTATGTCAGTCTCCCCACTCAGCAGGGAAACTGCTTCAGGATTCTCTCTCTCTCCCTCTCCCTCTGCTCCTCCCCTCCTTGCTCACACACACACACTCTCTCTCTCTCAAATAAATAAATAAATAAATAAATAAATAAATAAATAAATAAATAAATCTTTAAAAAAAGAGCTTGTGTAAGTCAAACAAAAGACCCTACCTTGTAATCTATGCTCTAAAATACTCCCTTTGACATACATATATATGTACACACATACATATACATCTATATACACATATATACATACGTGAACACATACATGCATACATATATGGATTACATTACACACACACACATATTCTTTGAAGGCAAGGAACAAAAGCCTGTGCAAGGTGGCTGCATATTGGGTATAAATGGTGAATGTATGTATGCAGTAATAGACAAAGGTAGCCCACAACAAAAAGGAAAAAAAAAGGCCCTTCAATAGATAAATGGATAAAGATGTAGTCCATATATACAATGGAATATTACTCAGCCATCAGACATTGCATCAACATGGATGGGACTGGAGGAGATTATGCTAAGTGAAATAAGTCAAGCAGAGAAAGTCAATTATCATATGGTTTCACTTATTTGTGGAACATAAGGAATAGCATGGAGGACATTAGGAGAAGGAAGGGAAAAATGAAGGGGGGGAAATTGGAGGGGGAGACGAACCATGAGAGACAAGAGAAACAAACTGAGGGCTTTAGGGGGGGGGATGGGTTAGCTTGGTGATGGGTATTAAGAAGGGCATGTATTGCATGGAGCACTGGGTGTTATACTCAAAAAATGAATCATGGAACACTACAACAAAAACTAATGATGTATTGTATGGTGACTAACATAACATAACATAATAAAAAAAAAAGGCATCCAAATTGGTAAGGAAGAAGTAAGACTTCTACTATTTACAGATGACGTGATGCTATATATAGAAAATCCTAAAGACTCCACCAAAAAAACCACTAGAACTGATAAATGAATTCAGTAAAGCCACAGGATACAAAATCAATATACAGGAATCTGTTCCATTCCTATACACTAATAATGAAGTAGCAGAAAGTGAAATTAAGAAAAGAATCCCATTTACAACTGCACCAAAATCAATAAAATATCTACAAATAAACTTAACTAAAAAGAGGTGAAAGACCCATACTCTGAAAACTATAAAATGCTGATGAAAGAAATTCAAGATGATGCAAGGAAATGGAAAGACATCCCATGCTCCTGGGTTGGAAGAACAAATATTGTTAAAATGTCTACGCTACCCAAAGCAATCTATAGATTTAATGCAATCCCTATCAAAATACCAACAGTATTTTTCACAGAACTAGAACAAACAATCCTAAAATTTGTATGGGACCACAAAAGACTCTGAGTAGTCAAAGCAATCTTGAAACTGGAGGCATCACAAATCCAGACTTCAAGTTATATTACAAAGCTGTAGTAACCAAAACAGTATGGTATTGGCATAAAAATAGACAGATGGATCAATAGAACAGAATAGAAAGCCCAGAAATAATGCCACAAGTATATATCAATTAATCTTCAACAGAGGAGGAAAGAACATATAATGGGAAAAAGATAGTCTCTTTAAATGGTGTTGGGAAAACTGGACAGCTACATGCAAAGAATGAAACTGGACCACTTTCTTACACCATACACAAAATTAAACTCAAAATGGATTGAAGAGCTAAATGTGAGATCTGAATCCATAAAAATCCTAGAAGAGAGCACAGGTAGTAACTTCTCTGACCTTGGTCATAGCAGCATTTTTCTAGGTATTTTCTCCTGAGGCAAGGGAAATAAAAGCAAACATAAACTGTTGGGACTATATCAAAATAAAAAGTCTCTGCATAGCAAAGGAAATAATCAACAAAATGAAAAGGTAACCTACTGAATGGGAGAAGATATTTGCAAATGACATATCTGATAAAGGGTTAGTATTTAAAATATGTAAAAAATGTGTAAAACTCAACACCCAAAAAATGAATAATCCAATTAAAAAATGGACAGAAGACACGAACAGACATTTTTCCAAAGAAGACATACAGATGGCCAACAGGCACACGAAAAGATACTCAACATCACTCATCATCAGGGAAATGCAAATCAAAACCACAATGCGATACCACCTCACACCTGTCAGAATGGCTAAAATCAAAAACACAAGAAACAACAAGTGTTGGCAAGGACATGGAGAAAAGGGACCCTTCTTACACTGTTGGGGGGAATGCAAACTGGTGCAGCCACTCTGAAAAATAGAGTGGACATTCCTCAAAAAGGTAAAAATAGAATTACCTTATGATTCAGCAATCACACTACGGGGTATTTACCCAAAGAATACAAGAACCCTGATTCAAAGGGATATGTGCACTGGATGTTTACTGCAACATAATTTACAATAGCCAAACTAGGAAGCCGCCCAAGTGTCCATCAATAGATGAATGGATTAAGAAGATGTGGTGTATGTATATCTATATACATACATACATACATATATATATATATATATATATATATATATATATATATAGTGGCATACTACTCAGCCATAAAAAAGAATGAAATCTTGCCAATTGCAACAACATGGATGGAGCTACAGAGTATTAAGCAAAATAAGTCAAAGACAAATACCATATGATTTCACGCTTGTAGAATTTAAGAAAGAAAACAAACGATCAAAGAAAAAAGAGAGAGAGAAACCAAGAAACAGACTCTTAACTATAGAGAACAAACTAATGGTCACTAGAAGGGAAGTGGTGGGGGGATGGGTGAAATAGGTGATAGGGATTAAGAGTAAACTTATCATGATGAGCACTGAGTCATGTATAGAACTGCTGAATCACTATATTGTATACCCAAAACTAATATAACAGTGTATATTAACTATACTGAAATTGGAGTTTAAAAAACTTAATAAATGGAAAAAATAGAAACAGAGAAAATACATATAAAAATATATAGTAAAAGTCAAATTTCGCAGGGGGAAAGGAAAAACAAAAAGTTCAACTAGGACCAAGCTCCACAATGCTGGACTTGGAGAGTGGTTCTAGATTTATGGCAGATCTACAGACCTCAGCAGCAGATCTTAAATTGTTTTACAAATAGCATGACTTAGCTTCTCTCCCTACATTTGCTTCTCTCTACCTCACTATCAACCAATAAGTTCCCAAGAGGAACTCAGCTACTGGCCATCATATGGGTTTGACAGCAACCTCTCTGTCAGGTCACAACAGACCCTGCTGGTTGTTCCTCTTGGCTTTGGTGACCAGCTGTGGTCCAAAGGGCAATGGCCAGGCAGGCAGGATCACATCAGATCCTACCTGAATGCCCTGAGGACCTAAGATTCCCTAAAAAGGATAAGGGCATGGCACACAACGTTATCTTCTCTAACTCACACAGATGATGTGATTTCCATCATCTTACAGAATGAGTTATCAATAGAAGCACAGTGGACAATATGATTTTTGGTGAGGATGAAAGAGAATCCTATGTGAAAAGTATAAGGGATAGATAGCATCATGTTCAGAGATAAGGAAATGACCACATTTGAAGTTGGCCTTAAAATCCTTGGTGCTAAAGCAAATAAAAAAAAAGAAGAAGAAGTCTGCTGGATTCCATATTTCAAATTTCTGGCAAAGGAAGATATGCAAATCTATCTGCAAAGCCATATTTTCCCCTCTGGAACTAAGCCCAAGCAGAAACATGTCACATGGGTCCCTGTGCAAGGCACCGAACATCAGTATCAACCACAGATTTTTCTTTTAAAAAGCACAGTCATGCTGTTTAAATGGATAATTCTTGTATTTATTCTCACTAAAGACTGAGGGATGGATATTGAATTGTGTCCCAGGGCTGAGTTTGGCTAATCCCACTACTTCAGGAAAGCTACACAGTGCAGGGATGCAG